ATAACCATATATATATATATATATATATATATATATATATATATATATATATATATATATATATATATATATATATATATATATATATATAAATAGGAGCAGGGTTTTTCTACGGCCTCCCGACATCTAACTCTACTGTAGAGTTTGGTTTGGAGATCGAACTGACCCGGAATGGAATGCTGCATCGTGGAAAGGAATCAGGTTGTCCACTGCTTTCTCTAGAGGAATGAACTCATTTGACAAATCCACCTTTTTGTTGGACTAGGCGGAATGGTTAGGAGACAGACGACTCCATTCCGGGAAGCAAACTAAACGCCTTGAATAGGGTCGGATTTTAGATCAGATGATTCTGGACAGCTTTCACGACACAAACCAAACACACTCTAATATATTGGCTCCTTCGAATGTAGATCTTCTTGTCTGTCATGGTAATTGCACTAAGCTGCATAGTTCCATTGTCCAACAGCACTAGTTCGCGGTCTCAGCCTACGGTAATTATACTCTACTCTATGATCCTCTTTTTGCCCAAACTGAAAGTAATGGACTTCATAGTATCTTAATTATTTGCATCGCATAAGTCTATACTAACAGAAATTCTCTATTATACATACTACATCCAGATGTATCATATTAGAAGTTTTGGATATAGGAATCCTCGATCCACAAAAGCGTAATGTTCATATTTTTAAAGAAATGAATTGTTCCAATGAAATTGTTGAATATTTGTCAAACACATATTTTTTTAGGTCTTATAGAACATGGAGGTTAATGCCTCCACATGATTGAAAATAGATGAAAACTCAAATGAAATGTAGTATTGCTTCTACCTAACCGGGTGCTCAACTCTTTTTTTTGAAGGAATGCCCATCGGCAACTTTATTGATTCATCAGAATAGTTACATCGTTCATCAAATACTCAAGAAGAAAACTAGGGGGTTCATCGACCCAAATACATGATTGTTTACTTGCAAAACATCTCCTAGCTATTTCATGAGAAACCTGATTAATTTTTTCCATGGGTATTTATTGACATGACAAATTAATTGCGGGGTTCCTTGTGGTGGAACTTGCCCATCCGGGTTCAAGTCATCGACTTGGTACGGATGCTCGTATTTTCTTGTATTTTTTCAGGATTTAACGGCGCTATGCTTTCAGTGGTGGGCGACGTTCGCGTCGACAGCGAGGTGCCTGTGGTGACTTCGTGAATCTTAAGATATGTTGGTTCTCATAGGAGTAGGGTTTGTGTACGTGTGTTCATAGGCATGAGTGTGCGTGCATGTTGTGGGTTGATTGTAAAAAAACATGACAAATTAATTTTTATCGTCGACATAATGTGATTTTTTTGAGGGGATCGACATAATGTGTTGAAAAATTGATGAGCAGCCGTGGGGCGAAGGGCCCAGAGATTCTAACCTTGACCACATCTGGGCCCATGTAAGCCCATTAACGTGCCCCCAGTACGGTTGAGCTGTCCCACCCCACTGGCGCACTTGCATTTCTTGACCGACACCTGACCCCAAACCGTAGATACCAGCCGCCGCCGTTGACGGCCCTCCGGCGTCCTCTCCTGGGCTCCTCCTCGCCGGCGCCGCCTAGCGCGCTATCCGTCGTCTAGGAGATGGCAGGCCATGGCCAGCGCCTACCATTCACTGCGCCCAAGTGTGGCCACTGGTTGGGGGCTCGGTGCCAAACACCGGCGGCATGCTGTATCCACCGTCCAGTGGACTCCCGAGCCGTGGTAAATCTTCTTTGACCTAGGTGTCGATTCCTTCAGCCAGTTGTTGTTTTAGTGGAGGTTCTGTAGTGACCAGTCTCTAGAATCTGCTAAAGTGCCATACAATCTGTCATTATTTGGCCGTTATATGTTATCGGGATTAAGTACATTGCAGGGCCGTACTGTTAGCAACCGGATAGCTGTGGTAGAGAATCAGGGATCAGTAGGATTGGAGAAGAAGAACAGTAAAGGAAGTATAGGGTTCTAGAGGAAGAAGAACAACAGTAGATAGAAGGGGAATTCTGGAGAAGGAAGATAACCTTTGGTTTCTGAATATTCGATATCGTTTCCTCTCTAGCTGCTGTTGCTTTTGTAGTGCTTCATATTGTTTTCCTTGGGCCTTGGTTGCGTGGCACATGTTGGCCGGCCCAGCCCATAAACCTATGGCCATATCCTGACACGTACCGCTGATTGGGAACTAGTGAAATTATACAAGTCTGTTTAGGAGTCAAGTGCCCATTGGTGGCATTCAGCTATTGTGCCCACCTGAAAAATAAAAGTGGTACATTCACTTCTGAATTCAGTATTTCAGTTCAGTTACAATGAGGATTTTAGCTGTTCAGTTATGCAATAGATATACCATTTCAACCTTACGAATCTAAAACTCTAAAAGAATGTATAATGGCTATATGAGAACTGTACCTGTTGGACAATTTCCCTTTCCCTACCCCCGCGAAAGGGCAGCAAAATCACTTGTTTTCTTATTTTCTGCCTGCCATAAGGTGCAAGTCCAGTTTCAGGTGATATGCTATATGCTATGACCCACTTCCACCGGTTCTAAATTTTATCATCATGCAACAGTAGTGGTACTGGTTTGTAATACCGTCATCTATAGCTTCCATCTGGTTCTATTTTCTGCACTTGATATGTTTGTTTTTGTTGCTAATTCAAATATCCAATTTCTGAAATTTTATTACCTAATAAACCTTTTCCTTGTAGGTGTTAGTTTGAATGCTGATGGAGCCTTACGATTCCCTGTGTTTCATAGAAACCATCCATTTTGCCTTCTTTCATAACCTTGTGAAAGTCTGGTTCCTCTCTCTCTCTTCGGTTCAGTGTCCACACTGACATCCACTGCTATTGGCAAAATGGAAAGGCTGGACTGATACTCAGCCCTTTTAAGTCCTCAACCTACCAGAATGTCAAGTGCTCAACTGAGGTCTGCTGTGCCATGCACAATAGTTGATTCCTACTGATACATTGATTTTATTCCCAGTATTTCATGCACTTCACAAGGCATGAGAACTACAATGCTAGCTAAATGATATGCATGGGGAAGTGTTAAGGACAAGATTTGCTTTGTTAGAACTGGTGAACTGATAGACTGGAATGACTTACCAACACTAGAGATGAAATTTGAAATGTATGCCGTGGTGCTACGAATGGAGAATATGTTCTATACGAATTCAGACGATGATATCTGCTTGACATTTCAGCCAGACGATGCCAATGTAAAGGGGTTTCAAATTTTGGGGAACAGAGCAATGAGATCATTTAGGGTTGTTTTTGATATCCAAGACAGGATATTTGGCTTTGAAGCTGGTGCATGTACACAGAACAAAGGTGACCCCCCCCCCAAAAAAAAGTCCCTAGTGCTTCAGGGGGTAGCCCATATTACTGTCACAACAGTTACATACTTCGTAAAGATGCGGACTTCTCTACTTTAGCGCTTAATGCTCTGTTAAAGTTTAGTCTCACAACTTTCCTGTTAAGCTATTAAACTTGTTTTGGCTGTCTATTTTAGAAACATTATATGGCATTTTATCGTACATGATTTTTCATATCACAGTTTCACAGTTCTTCTCTGGTTTCATGTTTGGTGCTCTGTTAAATTTGATTATTGAAACTTTCCTGTTAGGCTGTTATAAATTGTTTTAACTGTCAATTTTAGAAACACTGTACAAGAGTTCATCATATACGTATGTGCCAACTTTGGCATTATTTTTTTATGGAACAACTTCAGCATACCTTTCAAAGAAAAGGCGAAAACACAATAATGGCATTAACAAATATTCTTGATGTGATTTACTAAATGGCAAACCAAGTCCAGAGCTATTCTGGATATATCCATCATGTTGATATACTCTATTTGACTTAAGAATCACCTTCATTAATGCATTTCTTCATGGCAAAACTCTAAAACAGAGCCCAAGGTTGATGCTCCGCGTAGCTTTTGGGTTGCTCACTTTACATATAAATCTGTTGACTTGTCTCCACAAGAACAAATTAGTAGCTCTAAAAGATACGACGGAACTATTATGCAATTATTTAAAATTAAACCATGCTCAAATTATTCACATTTGTTTTTCCTTCTTTTTTTAAATCCCCATCCTCAGCAGTGCAATTACTAAAGCAAAAGAACTGTAACTGCTCGTGGTACTTGCAGACTCAAACTGCATAATAATCTTTTCCTGAACATGATAACTGATTAAAAATTCCTTTTCATTAAGTAGCTTCAGGTTACATTGAAAAAAAGTAACTCTAGCAACTAGTAGTACACAACTGATGAACTGAAGCATATTAATAGCAGAAGAAATTTTCCAACAGAACATTGGAAAGCATTTCCACAGCACATTAGGAGTACGGATTTATCTCTGTTCACGTACTCTGCATCTTTAGAAAAAAGGCCTGACACTCTATCTTGAAGACACCGAACAGGTGAACATCATGATGTGACCAAGCCATGTACTTTGCAAAAGCACATTGAGCTTGAACTATCGTACTGCACACCTCCACAGTCAAATGAATCCATACAAATACGCCTGGTGTACCTGAAATCAGAGTTGAAATTAACCTCGCACATGCATCTGCTGTGAGTTTGGTGTTTGTCAGGTGGTGCTTGGACCCTTTTGTGTGTTAGAAAAAAAGGAAGCACAGTGAAACTGGAGAATTACCTTTTTCAAAAGTGCTTTTGCTTGCATTGTCAGTTGACGCCGTTAGTATGCACGCTCAAGTACTAACAACAATGGCTTTGAGAATTATATAATACCTCAGAATTCTGGGTGCAAATCAATACAACTGGAGTTTGGATACCCATAACACTCTCATATGCACAATGCAGGCATCAGAGAGCACACACCCAAAGCAAACTGTATCACAAAGCTTGAACCGCATGTAGACCTTGAACATCTGCAATGAACAAATCATGATAATGTGGATGAGGAATTAGGTTGGCCAGTGAACTGCACAAGGAAAGCAGGGCACCAACCTTCAGAGTCTAACAAACTCACCAGTCGAAGTCCAAGTGATAATGGGCTGCGCCTAGCCCAATACTCAGATGAGGGATGTGGGAGATGAGGTGCCGGTCCTTCCCGTTCCTTCTCTCACAGCGCCTCACCATATCAGGGCAGTCATCGATCTCCAGTGTGTGCAGAGCAGTAAGCCCTGTAATCCACTCTGACAAGGATCTAATGCCCGGGCAGTTCATGATCGTAAGCTCTTCAAGGGAGGTGAGGCAGCACATCGATTCAGGAACGGAAGTCAGGGCCGGCAACCACCATAGCACGAATTTACTTAGAGAGTGGAGTTCCCCCAGCGATTCGGGCAGTTGGCCAAATTTCTCGCAGTATGCAATTCCGAGCCTCTGGAGGGAGGTGAGGTGCCCCAATGATTGCGGAAGGCAAGTTAGGCTGTGCGACTGACTAATTGTGAATACACGTAGAGAACGAAGTTCCCCCAGCGATTCGGGCAATTGGCCAAGTGCCTCGCAGTATGTTATTTTGAGCTCCTGGAGGGAGGTGAGGTGCCCCAATGATTGGGGAAGGCACGTCAGGCTCCGCAACTGCCAAATCTTGAATATGCGTAGAGAACGAAGTTCCCCAACACATACGGGAAGCTGAGCAAGTGCATCGCAGTATTCGATTTGGAGCTCTTGGAGGGAGGTGAGGTGCCCCAATGGTTGTGGAAGGCTGCTCAGCCTGGGTAATCCCTTGATGCCTAGCTTTTGTAGAGAGCAGAGTTCGCCGAGACATTCTGGCAGCTGGTGGAAGTCATGACAACCTAATATTTGGAGATCCGTGAGTGAGGTGAGCTGCCTGAATGATTTGGGGAGGCTACTTATGTCGTCACAATTATGTACCTCTAGAGTCTGCAGAGACGGAGAGCAGAGGTCATCCACCCACCTACTGTAAGAAATATCCAGTGCTTTGAGGGCCCTGAGCGGCTGCATTGATGGTGCAGGGCTCAAACTACTGCAGTCGAAAAAGCTCATCGTTTCCAGGTAACGGAGTTCCCCCAGCCACTCTGGAAGCATACAGAGAGAGCTGCAGAATGCGATGCGCAGAGTTCGGAGGGATGCGAGACTCCTCACGCTCTCTGGCAGCTCGATTAGGCCATCGCACGACCTAATCTCTAAGGACTCCAGTGCCGTCAAATGTTGCAGCAGCTCCCATCGACACCCAGATCCGTACAATGATGCTCCTGGTGGTGGTGCCATATCATTTAGTTCAAGTTCCTTTAGGCAGCTAAAACTAAAAGAAGACAATCCTGCACCACTGGAACTGGAAGGCAGTCCCAGCAGCTGCAAGTTGCTCCACCCCAAACTCAAGTCATTCAGCGATGAAGGAAAGCATGGCATCACCATCAGTTTTGGACACCCTGATATAGCTAGAACTGATAGACGATTACCAATCTGCACTTGTCCTCCTTCCACATCAGCCATGCCCCCCTCTGTTACCATCCATACCACGCCCAAACTTGGCATTTCACCCATGATGAATAACTTCAGCAGCGAAGGAAATGGACCTCCGCTTATGCTTTTAAGAGCAGGCATATCACTAAGCATAAGCTTCTCCAAACAAAGAAACTCCGGTAGCCCCTCCAGTCGCTCCAATTTTGGGAAATCTGATAGTTCCATCTCGCACAACAGCCGAAAGCGAAACACCCTCATCCACTGCGGGGATTCCTGACCAGAATACCGGACAATTTTGAGGTTTTCAATTCCAGGCAGTGGTTCCAACCCTTCTAGATGACTTTCAGAGTTCACCCCCACATCGCTTGCACAAATAAGTGTCAGGCTCTGTAAGTTTGTCTTCTGCTTCAACCATTCCTTGTGTGCAATATTTGGGTCCATACAATGTCTAATACCATGGATAGTTAGCTCCCTGCTAATCTTATTAATGTTTTCAAGCTCTGAGATCTTTGCATAATTTTCATCATCCTCCCCCATAACAAATAGTCCCCAGCTTTTCAAGTCGAGTAAGCTGACTAATCCCTTTTGAAATTTCTCGTAACTTTCCACATCCTTGCAGGTTCAGAACAACAAGCTTCTTCAAGTTCCCTATGCCTTCAGGCAACTCTACCAACTCAGAACACAAATGAAGGTCCAAACACTCCAGGTTTTCTAGTGCCGTGATACTTGATGGTAGCCTCTCAAGTTTGGTATTGCCTAGTCTCAGCACTCTTAGCCTTTTATTCCTGCTGATAGAGCTTGGTAAAGTTGCAAACTTATCACAACCAAAAAGGTCTATGCTAGAAATCATGACACACTTGCCAATAGAATCTGGCAAACTTGTTAGATGGCAACAATATGACAAGTTAACCACTCTCAACTTCTGCAGCCTACCAATGGATTCAGGTAACTTGACAAGACTACTTGACGTTACATGAAGAGCTTGCAGACTCCATAGTTCTGATTTTTTTTTAACGCAATGGCAGGAGCTCTGCGTTTCAATTAAGATAGGGAAAGAAAGTTTATATACAAGCAAGGACACTCGAGATTAGGATTTCAAACCCCCACAAGCATGTAAGGGAGCGAAACGCACGGCCCAAAGGGGGGACAACAGCTAAACATAAGCGAGTGCTCTCTTACTTTGCTCTATGTCTTCCTTTATTCTTGCGGCTACTTGCGGCACCGTTTCTATCTTATTGTCGAAAATTCTCCTATCTCTCTTTCTAAATATTCCAAAAGGTGTAGATTACTACCCCGTTAAGCCGCCTAAGCTCGGATCTTGGCACTTTCTTTGCCACCTCTTCCCACCATGACCTGATATGGGTGGGGTCTACCTGGGGTTGTTGTTGAATTTGAGTGAAGTTTTCTCATGAGAGGATTTGATCCCAAACCGCCTTAGCAAAAGGGCAACATAGGCATAGGTGGAGGCCGGTCTCTAAAGGACCGTTGCACAACACGCATTGTTGTTAGTGTGGCCACCCTCTCCTTTGTAGGTTTTGCGTCGTTAGAATTTTATCTTGCACTAAGATCCAGGCGAAGATCTTGCATCTGTTCTCCACATGCGCTTTCCAAATCAAATCCGTACGGAAGGGGACGAGCGAGCCTTTGCATTGAATTCTGTAGGCCGAGCGGGTGGAGTAATTCCCATCCTTGGTCCATCGCCAGATGATGGTGTCCTGGACGCCCTGTTGTAGGTGCACATCCTGTATTCGTATCCAAAGGGACACAAACTCCTCTATGTGGACAGCCGAGGTGATTTTCCTTCCTAGCTTGTGCATCCAATTGTTGTTCCGGAGCTCTTGTTGCACCGTTCGGTTTCTCCTTGAAACTAGGCGAAACAAGTTCGGGGCTAGGTACCTAGGAGCTTGTCCATTAAGCCAATTGTGGTGCCAAAACTTAGTCTTTGCACCGTCCCCCAAAGTTATAATGATTGAGGAGTTGAAGATGAGACGATCATCATCAGAACATGGAAGCTCCGAGCCGCTCCAAGACTTGGAATCGTCCACCCATTCTTGCCAAAGCCATCGCAACCGGAGGGCTCTCCCAAATCTATCGAGGTCAGGGACGCCTAAACCACCAAGGTCTTTGGATCTGGTAACTGTTTGCCAGTTAACTAGGTAGTGTCCGCCATTGGTATTTTCCTCCCCCTTCCACAAGAAAGATCTCCTGATTTTGTCGATCTTTTTCTTAGCCCATGCAGCCAGAGGAAACACCGTCAGGTGGTAGGTTGGCATGGAGGAGAGGACAGAGGTTACTAGAGTGAGGCGTCCCGCTCTGTTTAGTCATCTTCCTTTCCATTTGGGTAACCTTTGCCCAATACGGTCTATGAGAGGTTGCACATGGATCTTTTGCAGTAATCTGATGTGGAGTTGTAGCCCCAAATATTTGCATGGGAAGCCCCCTCTAGTATCGGTGAAAGGTGACAGGACTTGGTCTAGGTCGACGTTTGCACAACTGATTGGATGCACTGAGCTCTTTTGTAGATTAATATGGAGTCCCGAGAATGTGCCAAAAGCCTGTAGGATGATTTTGACGGCTTCTACATCGTCTTTTGTCGGGCTGATGAAAATGGCCGCATCGTCCGCATATATAGAGGTTCTCCATTTTGCCGCCGTGATTGGTAAGGGGGTGAGTATCCCATGTTGGGTTGCTTGGTTGAGCAAACGTTGAAGCGGGTCCATAGCTAGGATGAATAGCATGGGTGAAAGCGGATCTCCTTGCCGGACGCCTCTGGCATGGCTAAAAGTGGCCCCCTGGCGCCCATTAAGCAAGGGTGTCGAGGTGGATGTACGTAGGAGGATAGAGATCCATTCACACCATCGCTGTCCGAAGCCCAGAGCCTGCAGAATCTCAAGCAAGTACCCCCAATGTACCGTATCAAAAGCTGTGGATGTCTAGTTTCATGAACAAAGCCGGTATCTTCTGCTTGTGTAGCCTTTGTACCGCGCCCTGGACGTAAAGAAAATTATCATGGATGCTTCTCTTTTTTATAAATGCGCTCTGGCAGTTGGAGTCGAGGGAGTTCAGTCGAGGGGCAAGTCTGTTAGCTAACACTTTGGAGAAGATCTTTGCAATGCTATGGACGAGGCTGATGGGTCTAAAATCAGTAACTCTTGTTGCATCCGTTTTTTTGGGTAGAAGGATGATGCAAGCCGAGTTTAGCCATTCAAAACCCTGGGCATTCAATGTGAATAGGCTGTTCATGGATGCCATAACATCATCTTTAATGATTTCCCAACAAGCTTTGAAGAAGGCACCCGTGAAGCCATCTGGGCCTGGCGCTTTGTCGGAAGGCATGGAATATATAGTGTTTTTTATCTCTTCCTGGGAGAAAGGCACCTCTAGATCGGAGAGATCATGTTGGTTGTAGCCAAGGGATTGCCAATTGATTGTGGAAGCTCTCGGAACCGCGGAGCCAATGTGATTTTTAAAATAATCTCGTATCACCTTTTCTTTCTCTTGATGAGCCACCGCGATCCCCCATCCGTATGTAGACAATGTATGTAATTCTTTCTCCGGCGTGCATTGGCTCTACTGTGGAAGAATTTAGTGTTAGCATCTCCACACCGGATGTATGTTAGCCTCGATCTCTGTCTGATTCTTGATTTTTCAATGGCTGCGAGCCCAGTGCTACGGGCTTTGAGGCGGCGACATAGGTGAAGCTCCATGCCAGTGAGCAACCTATGCTCTTGGGCTGCTTCTAATTGTAACAGTACCTCTTTCACTATGGCGAGCTACATCCTCGTATCCCCTATCTTGTCTTTCTTCCATCGCTTGATTCCTTTTGCCACACACGCCACTTTGATATGCAAGCGTTTCATAGGAAGAGCAGAGGTGACTGGCCTATTCCAAGTGTTTTGGACAAGATCTTGAAAGCATTCCATCTTAGTCCAGTAATTTTCGAAGCAAAAGGACGTGCTGTGATGGTGGTCAAGCTCTCCCTGGAGTAGCAGCGGGGTATGGTCCGACATGAGCGATGGAAGGGAGTGTAAGAAACACGCGGGGAAGAACAGCTCCCACTCAGGGGTACATAGTAGTCTGTCAATTCTAGTGAGCGTCGGGTTGTCCTGTTGATTGCTCCAAGTGAAGCGGCGTCCATTTAGCTTGATTTCTTTGAGCCTCAAATGATCGATCGTCGCTCTAAATGCCCCCATGAGGCGCCGGTTTAGATTGGAGTTATTCTTGTCTTCTGCCTGGTAGATGAGATTGAAATCTCCTAGGATGAGCCATCTATTGTGCTCCGGCGGGGGAATGTTCTTCAATTCTTGGAGGAATTGAAGTTTGGCTGCCTCTCCCTGCGGGCCGTATACCACTGTAATTTGCCACCTTGTTCCATCCGCCCTCATGTTGATCTGCGCGGTTATAGCGTTCGAGGTAAGTACAATGTCGGAGAGGTCGAAGAAGTCTTCATTCACCGCAAGGAAGATGCCTCCTCGAGTCTGTTCCGCCGGGAGCGCAATATAGGAGTTTACAAATTTCGCTCCGACTGTTCGGCGCACCACATTATGATCCATATCTTGCATCTTTGTTTCTTGTAGACATACGATGGTGGCACCAGTGGTTCTCACTAACTCGCTCACCGAGTCTTGTCGGGCGCCATCATTCAAGCCCCTGACGTTCCAGTTAAGTAATTGACAATTCAGCTGTGCCATAAGGAAACCAATGATAACCTCTGGAAGTGTTAAATATTTTAGTCTTGAAATGTTAAGGTACCTTAGATTTTTGGTCTGTAGTATGGCTGTGAGCGCTGATGTATGCACATTTTCCACAGTGATACTGCGCAAGTGTTTTGCTTTCTTCAATGACTTGCCAAATATGAAATCATCGTCTTCAGCAATATACATAGCATGTGCCTCTCTAAATGTATTTTTTGGCGGAAGATGTCTTGTGTGTTCTGTTATCGAAAAATACCGGCAGATCTTTGTAAAATCGACTGCCTTCTTCGGTATGACAAGTGAAATCTCATCACCCAAAATGGATCTGGCAAGATCATGCACCAAATCATGCATCTTACATTTAACTTTCTCATCATTTCCTTCCTTCACATCTTGTATAAAGTACATTTGCACAAGTTGACTAAAGTAATCATTGCCAATAATTTCTAGGTCCTTAACAACATCTTCTATGACCATATCATGAGCAATCCATTGGTCAATCAATTGATCTTTATCAATCAAATAACCTTTAGGAAAAATTGAACATATTGTGAAACACTGCTTTAGATGGGATGGCATATTAAAATAGCTAAGCCACAAGCAGGCAGATACTTGATGTTCTCTACCCTCAACATCTAATAAATTACTCTCTTTTATGGCTTGCCATTGTTCTAATCGTTTCTTGACACGGAGCACCCCTGCAACAACTTTAATTGCTAGTGGCACCCCAACGCACTTGTTCACAATCTCTTTCCCAACTTCTTGAAATTCAGAGTCCAAATCTTTCACATCATTTCCAAAACTTTGCTGAAATAATTGCCAGCTGTAATCCTCATAAGGATG